GATGACTTTATTCGTTGAGTACAATGAATTAACCCCTTGAGTACGATGACTTCACCCCTTGAGTACAGTGAATTAACCCCTGAGTGCGATGACTTCACCCCTGGAGTACGATGATTTTATTTTTTGAGTACAATGAATTAACCACTTGAGTACGATGACTTCACCCCTTGAGTACGATGACTTCACCCCTTGAATACGATGACTTAACCCCTTGAGTACGATGATTTTATTCTTTGAGTACAATGACTTTACCCCTTGAGTACGATGACTTTTTCTTCTAGTACAATGAATTAACCCCTGAGTACGATGACTTAATTCCTTGAGCAATATGACTTAACCCTTTAAGTACATGGAAAGTTCTTTTAAATACAATGACTTAATCCCTTTTGTATAATGACAACTTCTTGAGTCACATGAATTAACTATTGAAGATAATGACAACTTGAGAATGATGACGTAACCCTTTTATGATGTCTTAATATAATGACTTAACCCTTTCAATACATTGCCTTGATACCTTGAGTACGATGATGTTGTTATGATGAGTACTAAAACTTTAATAAATATAAGAAAACGAAGATTTGATATCACTAAGTGTACTAAATAGGGGAGAGAGAGAGAGAGAGAGAGAGAGAGAGAATCGTCCGGTGAAGCAGTTATGTTTGATGTAGTGAAGGTGATTATATATGTTATAGTACAGTTGTATAATGATTTAGGGTAACAGTGTCGCTGACTCGTGTCCTCACCAGCACCTGGTCGGTCTGTGTCAACTGTGTGAGGCGAACACCCCGAGAGTCTGAAGGCCTGAGGTTAAGGTGGCTGATCATAAAACACATTTTAGAATCTTCAATTTTATTTCGTTTTCAATGCATGTAGTCAGTTGTGCTCTCCAAAGACTTAATATAAGCTTGGAGCACTGAAAATAATTTTGAGAAAATGGTATTATTAAGGAAGAGGTCAACCTCTCCTGTCGTGTTCGAAAGTACTGACATGGAAGCGTTGCCCCTCGGCCTGGTGGATGTGTGGGAAGTAGAGTCAGTTGTGGACCAGCACGTTGTCTGAATTGAGCTTATCTGCAGTGTAGGTAACTTTAGAAGGCGTTTACTTTCTGTTCACTCTGAACCCACGTTGATCAAAGGTGATGCCGGCAGCACGCTGTTCTTCGCCGATGCGGATCTGCTCGATGGCGTGGGCGGGGAGGGGAGGAGGGGTGGGGATGAGGGCACCCTGGGGCTGGAAGCCGTTCTCGTCAGCGGAGTAGCTGATCTCAGAGGGGGTACCGTCGGGGTGGATGAATCTGAGGAGGAAACAGGTACAATTACTGAATTTGTTGAACGAATAAAAAGATATAATTTGCCAAGGAAAGCTATCGAACAGTTGGCTGAAGTCAGTGAGTATTTACTATTAAGATAACACAATAATGTTTATTAAACAACTAATTTTCTGAGTCGCGGACCAACAAGTGAAAGGTCATATATATTTCTGGCCACACACAACCAGACACTGTTGAGGGATAATAAAACCCTCACCTGATGGTGCCCTGGATGTTGCTCTGACCCACTGAGCCAGGGGAGCCGAAGGCTTCTATGGCGATGCCATCGTCACTCTCGAAGGCATAGTTGAAGTTGCCGTCACCGTTGTCCACACGGTCGTCGCGGAGGATCACTACAGGGATTGCATTTTCGAACTGAGGAGCGGCGACGGCCAGGGCGGCCAGGCAGGCGAGGAGGACCTGAAGGAGTGGGAAGGAGCTCAAACATGGTTCACGTCAGGTCGTAAAACAGCTCAAATAATTCTTGAAACACAAGTAATTACAAAAGAACTTCATTTATGTCAGTTTTAACTTCTGTTGTCAATGATGTTGTGGCACTGGTGGAGTTCTGTTTGTGACGATGTTCTTGGTGCCAATAGTGATGATCATGGTGCCAATAGTGATGATCATGGTGCTAATAGTGATGATCATGGTGCTAATAGTGAAGCTCATGGTGCCAATAGTGATGATCATGGTGCTAATAGTGAAGCTCATGGTGCTAATAGTGATGATCATGGTGCCAATAGTGATGATCATGGTGCTAATAGTGAAGCTCATGGTGCTAATAGTGATGATCATGGTGCCAATAGTGATGATCATGGTGCTAATAGTGATGGTCATGGTGCTAATAGTGATGGTCATGGTGCTAATGGTGATGATCATGGTGCTAATAGTGAAGCTCATGGTGCTAATAGTGATGATCATGGTGCTAATAGTGAAGCTCATGGTGTTAATAGTGATGATCATGGTGCTAATAGTGATGATCATGGTGCTAATAGTGATGGTCATGGTGCTAATAGTGATGGTCATGGTGCTAATAGTGATGATCATGGTGCTAATAGTGAAGATCATGGTGCCAATAGTGATGGTCATGGTGTTAATAGTGATGATCATGATGCCAATAGTGATGGTCATGGTGTTAATAGTGATGGTCATGGTGTTAATAGTGATGGTACGATACTAATATATAAACAAACTGAAAGAGCGAAATATCAGAGGCCAAATGGTTGTCCTGGTAGGTTGAGCACGTGGTGGTATTTTAAGGCAAGCCTACAATAAACAATAACTAGAAGGCCCTGAAGGGTGTTGTACTCACGAGCTTCATGTCTGGTGTGTGTGTGGTGAGGCGCCGGGTGACGATGATACCTGACTGGCGGTGGAGCTCCCTTATATACACTTCCACACGCTGCCCTGACCTTAGAGGGGCGGGGTCTGGCGGTAAGGGAGGAGCTACGTCTTGTCTCCCAGAGCTTAGCGTTTTTACCCTGTAATTGTTGCTTACGTAAGAAACACAAGGGCAGGAATACTGATGCATTTCTCTTCAGCTGTGTGAATCTTGTTTTGTAGAATGTTATAAGTACAGTAAGTTAGGTAAAGTTGAGTAAACAGCAGGACAAGAGAGGTGAGGAGGCAGTAGAGGAGATTGTATGGGAAGGGAAAGGTAAGATCAGACTCACCTTCGAGTCAAGGTCGTCCAGCAACCTATAGCAGTAACGGGACTGTCTCATAAGTCGTACCTTATGTCGTGTCCATAGACCAATGATTATCTGACAGCGTTTAAAATATATAATTAACTTACACATGTTAAGAATGTCATATACATCTCTCAGTGATATAAACACAGTTGTAATATATGGACAACAGATGTTTATATAACTATTTTTCTCTCTCCCGTACAGTACATAATGTTGATGTTCCTCGGGTTATATATTATTAACTGATAAGATGTTGAAGATAATATCCAAGCATTTCCTCTGAGTTAAAGTGAGTCTAGGATCACGCCTGTCAGAGATACGCTGATTCAATATGAGTCTAAAATAATTCGATATTTATGGAATTGATTGTTTATCGAAAACTAAGTTTATTTTATTCTCAATGACTTATCAAATATTTAGTGTTTTATTGTAACAGTTTTAGTGGAGCTGATGAATGACACCACCAGGGTTACTAGAGAAGAAGTAAACATTAAGATTCATAATACTGTATCAGGGGAGTAGAATGGCTTTAGTATATATATAGATGGGAATAAACCGGAATAAAACAACTCATGAAGAATAATCTAATTAAGTAAACATTAATACAGCATCAGGTGTATACAGTACATGTGTCTTCCCTGACAGCTGGGCGTGAACTGGTGGCTGGCCAGAGGTACTGTATATTTCCCACAAAATCTCTCACTGATGAAGACCAAATCAACATTAACTACGACTTATTATTATTTTTTAAAGATCAATAAAAAAAATCCGGTAATTCACTGAGGATCATCTTTGATTAATGGAAGATTAGAAAATGTCATTAAAAAAAACAAATTAGACCTGGTAATCTCTCCTTCCCTCAACTGACGTCATTAGGGATTTGATTATATTTTATTTCTACAACAAATTATCTTTTATTCCATCTTCAACGCTCATGCCTCGTGTGACGTCACCAACCTACCCGGATTCATCACACGCCATATGCAAACGTTCATATATTTTTTTCTTTATTTATGATTCCAAAACTGGTTTTATATTTCATGACTTTTTTTATCATGAAAATATGTCGCTAATATTATTCTTGAAGCTTTGAGGTGTGAGTTAGGAAGGTACTTTTTCTTCTCAGTTGTTACTTATCTTATCATAATTAATCCGAGAATAAATTACGCGAATCTGTAGATGAAACGTAACAGTTTAAGCTAATCACAAGTTCTCAACCAATCCTTATGTGAGAGACAACAGCCTAAGCCTCTTGTAGTGAGACTCCATTACTACGTGAGACTCTACCGCCCGTGAGGAGTGAAAGTAAAAGACCCTACATATGCTTCACTGCCAGGAGTCACTGGATGTTTTATATAGCGTTGTGGTGGAAGAGACTCACAAGTGTGTACCCGAGGTGGTAAAGTGGTCCTAGCTGGTCACTTGAGGTATGTTTGGCAGTGTGTGTTGGTGTGGATGGTTAACCTTGGTTGAATGTTGTACCCAAAATAGAAGGTAAATAATATTAACTTGTTGGTTAGGGATAAAATGCATTGTTAATTGAGTTATAGTTTATTACAGGTAATATTTAACATTGCTTGTGATCTTCAAATAACTTGATACAAGATGATAACATTGAGATAATTTTAAGTGAAGATGTTCTTGCTGGAAGTCGGTCGTCTGCGTCTTGGTAAGGGAGGTGACACTCCTCAGATGTGCGTCTGTCTAATGGTAAGGTCGAGGCGGGTTGTTCCTGCCGTAATGACACGGGTGTTAACGGCCAGGGAACATCCGACCTTTAACCTTCTGGAAGGGTATAATCGTCGGCAACGGGGGGAGGGGGGATGAACCAAAGAATGGTTTTACTTTCTGTTCACTCTGAACCCACGTTGATCAAAGGTGATGCCGGCAGCGCGCTGTTCGTCGGCTATGAGGAGCTGCTCCTGGGCGTGGGCGGGGAGAGGGTGGGGGGTGGGCAGCAAGGCACCCTGGGGTTGGTAGCCGTTCTCGTCGGCGACGTAAGTGAGGTCAGCGGGGGTGCCGTCGGGGAGGATAAACCTGAGAAGGGAAGAGGTACAAATAGTGAACTTGTTGGAGAAAGTAAAAATGTCGAGACAAAATTAATTGATGACAACATTTGATTAAATTAATTTTATCAGCTACGGATTTAATAACGTTTGTTTTCTGTTGTGTATGGTAAGTTCACAAGACATGTTTTCTCAGACAAAGAACAAAACAAAAAGCAAAATACTAACTGTTTCTGGCGACACACAACATGATACTCCTGGGAAACACAACAAAACCCTCACCTGATGGTGCCCTGGATATTGCTCTGACCCACTGAGCCAGAGGAGCCGGAGGCTTCTATGGCGATGCCATCGTCACTCTCGAAGGCATAGTTGAAGTTGCCGTCACCGTTGTCCACACGGTCGTCGCGGAGGATCAATACAGGGATTGCATTTTCGAACTGAGGAGCGGCGACGGCCAGGGCGGCCAGGCAGGCGAGGAGGACCTGAAGGAGCCGGAAGAGAAAGTTAATGATTGTTTTATGCCGAGGCCACAGAAAGGTGAGTCCCTTAAACACGTGAATCGTCCCGTCAAATATACAGTAAGTTTCATAAAACACTTCCATTTAATATAATATATAAGAGCTGTTGTTGGTGATGTGGCACTGTTGGTGATGTGCCACTGTTGGTGATGTGGTGCCACTGTTGGTGATGTGGTGGCACTGTTGGTGATGTGGTGGCACTGTTGGTGATGTGGTGGCACTGTTGGTGATGTGGTGGCACTGTTGGTGATGTGGTGGCACTGTTGGTGATGTGGCCCTGTTAGTAATGTTTTGGCACTTATTGATGCAACTGCAGTATCAGTGATATTGTGACACTATATTAATGCTGTGACACTTATTATAATAGTAATAGTGTTAGCAGTGATTGTAGTGGTATTAGTAGCGATGCTAGTGGTCTCGTAGTGATGGTGGCGGTACTAGTGATGATGGTAGTGGTACTGGTGTTGATGTTAGTGATGGTAGTGGTATTGGTAGTGAAGGTAGTGGTGATGGTAGTGGTAATGGTAGTGGTGGTAGTGGTGGTAGTGGTGATGTTAGTGATCGTAGTGGTATTGGTAGTAGTGGTGATGGTGGTAGTGGTGATGGTAGTGGATAGTGGAAGGTATTGGTAGTGATGGTAGTGGTGATGTTAGTGGTGGTAGTGGTGAGTGGTGATGGTAGTGGTGATGGTTGGTGGTGGTATTGGTAGTGAAGGTAGTGGTGATGGTAGTGATGGTAGTGGTGATGGTAGTGGTGATGGTAGTGGTATTGGTAGTGGTGATGGTAGTGGTGGTAGTGGTGATGGTAGTGGTGGTAGTGGTGATGGTAGTGATGGGTGTTACTTGTGTTTATAAATCTGTAGACAAGAGCAGTGAGGCTGGCTCCTCCTACTGTTAACTTTAGTTCTACTGTCGGACACAAAACATCAGAACTGTGAAGAGATGGAGGTTGTTATACTCACGAGCTTCATGTCTGGTGTATGGTAAGGTGTCGAGGACGATGATGCCCGACTGCTGTAGGCCCTCCCTTATATACCTGACACTACCCTGACCATAGACAGGCGAGACCATTCTATAGCTGGGGGAGTTACCTGTTACAGCCAAATGTAACTCTTTATAAATGATCCTGTTGAAAATATAAATGAATAATTCTGTTTAGTATAATTTCATTAGGGATTATAAGTAGAGTAAGTTAGGCAAAGTTGAGTAAACAGCAGGACAAGAGAGGTGAGGAGGCAGTAGAGGAGATTGTATGGGAAGGGAAAGGTAAGATCAGACTCACCGAGTCAAGGTCGTCCAGCAACCTATAGTAGTAACGGGACTGTCTCATAAGTCGTACCTTATGTCGTGTCCATAGACCAATGATTATATATATATATATATATATATATATATGTTACAGTCAAAATGTGTTATTAGTCATTTCATGAAATGTCTAGTCATCTTATGTAATGTAAACTAACTTAATGTAATTTTAACCTATCCAAACCTATTTTATCCTATTCTTACCTAGCCTAACTTAACCTAACATAAGATTAGTTAGGTTAGGCAAAACTTGTTTTGGTTAGGTTAAGTTAGGTATCCTAACCTAACCTAACCTAACCTAACCTAACCTAACATGACCACGACTAACTTAAATAATCTACTGTTCAGTTCGGTTATGGCAGGCTAGGGTTGATAAAGATAGTATACAATTGGTTTTGTTAGGTTAAATTAGATTAAAATTGTTTACATTGCGCAAGTTGATTACACACACACACACACACACACACACAGACACACACACACATATATATATATATATATATATATATATATATATATATATATATATATATATATATATATATAAGCTTTTTAGACCGCCTTTGTATACAGATATGATCGTGTGCAGGTGGAGGAGTGTTACTGATGGTCTGATGGTCTGTTGGGCTCACATACACAACATCAGGTAATGGCGTGTATTAATAGTTGGTGTACAGCAGCCCAATAGATGATATTCTTAAGACCTCACGAGTAAATCCTAAATATTCTCGGCACATATTATGAAGGTCACTCACCTAGGACACTGTCCAGTGTTACTGAAGTTATGGGGACACATAATAGCTTACCACACTGTTATGTATATTTTGTACTGAGATGTTATTACATTATTTAGCAACAGATACGTAATTACTTTATTTAACCCGAATGTATAAGTCTCAGTAATACATCTGATTCATCTTGATGCCAAATTAACATCGACTTCTCCTTCACTCGTAATATTTATTCGTTTAGTTTCTGAATACTTTCGTTCTTCCTGCTGGTTGCAAATAAAATCTCTCGACACACCACTATGTATCAACGCTGTATCAACACACTACATCTTTAGTAATACAGAATCACCTACATAACTAATACTGAAACGAGAAGGAACTCGGCAGAGAAGACGATTATCTTTTGATTTCTATTTCCTTTCTTTTGATCAATTTTCTCTCCATGTGTTACCTCCTTTATCATCTTGTCATTATATTCCAACAGTTTTTAGTGTTACAGTAACGCAGCTTCAAGTAAATAACACGTGAAGGATGTGAGAGCCGTATAGGTCAGTTGTGGCATTATTAACCAGGGAAGAATAAGATAATAATACATTGTAACGTCACCAACCCGGGATAAACGTATCACTTGACTTCTGACTTTACTTGACTGTGGAGGAAGCAGAGCGGTGTGTATTACTGGTGATATCAACTTAAACTTACTTAATTTCCTGATATATCAAAACAAATCTAACGGATAAGAGTCATCATTCTTGATCAACTATAAACATAAATCATATTCATTGTTTTTCTTAAAATGCTTCCTTTAAAACGTGTTGTAAAAGCTACTAAATAATTTCAGTATTCACACTTGGCTGATAATAAGATCTGTTGTGGTCAATAAAGGTAATATTATAGGGAAGGTTCCTCATGACGCTGGATTCTCAAAAATTGTTACATAAAAAATATAATATTAATTATCCAACTTTATTAGAGTGAATGATAATGTATTATACACGTTGTGTTCTCCAACACAGAACACTGGAGTAATAATGAGTGAAGGTGATTGTGTCGGAGTAGGTCGGACGTCCTCGTCATGTTTGGAGATAATGGCGGAGTGACGCTGTTCTTCAGACGCTGATCTGCCCGGTAGTGAGGTCGATGAGTGGGTGAGGGAAACAGTGAACCTCATAATGCGTTTACTTTCTGTTCACTCTGAACCCACGTTGATCAAAGGTGATGCCGGCAGCACGCTGCTCCTCGGCGATGCGGAGCTGCTCTAGGGCGTGGGCAGGGAGTGGGTGGGGCGTGGGCAACAGGGCTGACTGGGGCTGGTAGCCGAATTCGTCAGCGGTGAAGCGGAGATCTTCTTGGGTGCCGTCAGGGTAGAAGAACCTGAGTCGGGAACAAGCAGAGAGTTTCATTAAGATAATTGGTGAGAAATAAGGTACAGTTAACACAAGTATTTTTTTATTGCAATGATGAAGTAATTTGCTTTCTGAGACATGAAACGGTAAAACAAAATTTCTAAATATTTCTGTCCACACGAAACACGAGACAAACCCCTCACCTGATGGAGCCCTGCATGTTGCTCTGGCCAGCTGAGCCAGGGGTGCCGGAGGCTTCCACGGCGATGCCGTTGTCGGCCTCGAAGGCATATTGGAAGTTGCCGTCACCGTTGTCCTGACGGTCGTCACGGAGGATCAACACGGGGGGCGGGTTATCGAACTGAGGAGCGGCGACAGCCATGGCGGCCAGGCAGGCGAGGACTACCTGAAGGTGCGGGAAGAGGAAGTGTTTCAATTTAGTTCAATATGGATTCAAGTTATGCCACACATACCAGTGACTGTGGTAAGAAGATGGTGGTATTGCTTTTAATACTGTCTGTTAGTGGGAGGGTGTTAGAAGTGGGAGTGAGAGAATGTGGGAGGGGGAGGGGGAGGGGGATAAGAGTAAATATGCTATACTCACGAGCTTCATGTCTGGTGTGTGGTGAGGCGTCGAGGACAGTGATGTCTGGGTGGTGTAGGACCTCCCTTATATACCCCGACACACTGCCTCCACCACCAGCCAGAGTGAAGGGAACGGGGGCCATTACGGAAGGAAGGACCCACGTGTTATCTCCCAAACGTTGATACAAGTTGCATCTTTATCAACGACTCCAAAACTTGTCAACTGAAAACAATAATAATTTTACGTACTCATCTGTCAAACGTGTTTATGGACGTTTATTACTGATAAAGGGCTTTTAGGGGACGTGAATACTTGACGGACACCAGTATAGGGGAATGGGTTTAAGGAGATTATATGAGAAGGGAAAGGTAAGATCAGACTCACTTTCAAGTCTAAGGTCGTGCAGCAGCTCGAGGTAACGGGAGTCTTCCGCTGTTTCTTTGCCTCGTGATGATGATGATGACGAGGTAACTACTCACTCTACCTGAGCCTTTAGTTTTATTACGTTTGTCTCTGTACAGGAACATTAACATGCCATAAAAAAATAAACAAATCATAAAAATGCATAAAAATAAATTGATTCAAGAAAAACCTAACCTAGCCTAACGTAACCTTACCTGATATAATTCAACCTTACCTTGCCTAATCAAACCTCATCTACATCAGGTACCCTTGGCCATCTTACAGTGTAATAGTAAATGCTGTTTTAAATGAAGTAAACACAAAATTAACCACAAATAAATTCATTTCTATTAAGTTATGGCTACAAAAAATGATTTATTCCAATTTGGTCAAACTGATATTTGTGTTTAATGTTAAATGTTGAAACTCCTCTAAAGCTCATGCTGATGAGAGGAGAATCTAAACAGAATACAGTATTATATTTTTATTTCTATTTCCTTCCTTTTGATCAATTGTTTCTCCATTTGTTACCTCCTTTATCATCTTGTCATTATATTCTCTCAGTTTTTGGTGTTACAGTAACGCGGCTTTAAGTAAATAACAAGTGAAGTTGTGGCAATATAAACCAGAGAAGAATAAGATAATAATTTATGGTATAAAATCTTATAAAACTGTTTATATCAAAAGGTCAACCATAAAACCTTAGAGATGAGTTCAGTAATAAAGACCATATTTCCAGATGTTACAGTGGTCTAATGACCTTACCTGGCTGTAGTTAAGACCATATTGCCAGATGTTACAGTGGTCTAATGACCTTACCTGGCTGTAGTTAAGACCATATTACCAGATGTTACAGTGGTCTAATGACCTTACCTGGCTGTAGTTAAGACCATATTACCAGATGTTACAGTGGTCTAATGACCTTACCTGGCTGTAGTTAAGACCATATTACCAGATGTTACAGTGGTCTAATGACCTTACCTGGCTGTAGTTAAGACCATATTACCAGATGTCACAGTGGTCTAATGACCTTACCTGGCTGTAGTTAAGACCATATTACCAGATGTTACAGTGGTCTAATGACCTTACCTGGCTGTAGTTAAGACCATATTACCAGATGTCACAGTGGTCTAATGACATTACCTGGCTGTAGTTAAGACAATATTACCAGATGTTACAGTGGTCTAATGACCTTACCTGGCTGCAGTTAACGAGTTGTCCTTCATCTGGGTTGAGATAAATTATGACTTATTTATCCAACAAGAGTCTTTATGGTTTCAACACATTTATATTCTTATGTTCATTTCATGTTTGTCCTGTCAAGGCTTTGTAGTGTGAAGGATGCAGTTGTTAACAAAGAAGGCTGGTCACCTCAGTGTGAACTTGCTGGTACAGCACAACTGTCAACACAACATTTGTTCTAAACATGTACAGTGCCTCTAGTGATCTGTATTTTTATAATGTGATCATTTGAGGCAGAGAATTTTACAATTTTGGACACTGACTTTTTCATAAATATAAGGAAACACTTGCCCATTGTCTTCTCATTTCACTTGATTGTGGAGGAAGCGTAACAGTGTGTATTACTGGTAATATCAACGTAATTTTCCGATTTATAAAAAAAAATAATATGACAAATAAGAGACATCATTCTTGTTCATCTCTAAATATAAGTCATTCATTGTTTTTCTTAAAATACTTCCTTTAAAACGCGTTGTAAAAGCTACTAAATAATTTCAGTATTCTCACTTGGCTGATAATAAGATCTGTTGTGGTCAATAAAGGTAATATTACAGGGAAGGTTCCTCATGACGCTGGATTCTCAAAAAACTTACAAAAAAAAATATAATATTAATTATCCAACTTTATTAGAGTGAATGATAATGTATTATACACGTTGTGTTCTCCAACACAGAACACTGGAGTAATAATGAGTGAAGGTGATTGTGTCGGAGTAGGTCGGACGTCCTCGTCATGTTTGGAGATAATGGCGGAGTGACGCTGTTCTTCAGACGCTGATCTGCCCAGTAGTGAGGTCGATGAGTGGGTGAGGGAAACAGTGAACCTCATAATGCGTTTACTTTCTGTTCACTCTGAACCCACGTTGATCAAAGGTGATGCCGGTAGCACGCTGCTCCTCGGCGATGCGGAGCTGCTCTAGGGCGTGGGCAGGGAGTGGGTGGGGCGTGGGCAACAGGGCTGACTGGGGCTGGTAGCCGAATTCGTCAGCGGTGAAGCGGAGGTCTTCTTGGGTGCCGTCAGGGTAGAAGAACCTGAGTCGGGAACAAGCAGAGAGTTTCATTAAGATAATTGGTGAGAAATAAGGTACAGTTAACACAAGTATTTTTTTATTGCAATGATGAAGCTTTCTGAGACATGAAACGGTAAAACAAAATTTCTAAATATTTCTGGCCACACGAAACACGAGACAGAACAAACCCCTCACCTGATAGAGCCCTGCATGTTGCTCTGGCCAGCTGAACCAGGGGTGCCGGAGGCTTCCACGGCGATGCCGTTGTCGGCCTCGAAGGCATATTGGAAGTTGCCGTCACCGTTGTCCTGACGGTCGTCACGGAGGATCAACACGGGGGACGGGTTATCGAACTGAGGGGCGGCGACAGCCATGGCGGCCAGGCAGGCGAGGACTACCTGAAGGTGCGGGAAGAGGAAGTGTTTCAATTTAGTTCAATATGGATTCAAGTTATGCCACACATACCAGTGACTGTGGTAAGAAGATGGTGGTATTGCTTTTAATACTGTCTGTTAGTGGGAGGGTGTTAGAAGTGGGAGTGAGAGAATGTGGGAGGGGGAGGGGGAGGGGGATAAGAGTAAATATGCTATACTCACGAGCTTCATGTCTGGTGTGTGGTGAGGCGTCGAGGACAGTGATGTCTGGGTGGTGTAGGACCTCCCTTATATACCCCGACACACTGCCTCCACCACCAGCCAGAGTGAAGGGAACGGGGGCCATTACGGAAAGGAAGGACCCACGTGTTATCTCCCAAACGTTGATACAAGTTGCATCTTTATCAACGACTCCAAAACTTGTCAACTGAAAACAATAATAATTTTACGTACTCATCTGTCAAACGTGTTTATGGACGTTTATTACTGATAAAGGGCTTTTAGGGGACGTGAGTACTTGAGGGACACCAGTATAGGGGAATGGGTTTAAGGAGATTATATGAGAAGGGAAACGTAAGATCAGACTCACTTTCAAGTCTAAGGTCGTGCAGCAGCTCGAGGTAACGGGAGTCTTCCGCTGTTTCTTTGTCTCGTGATGATGATGATGACGAGGTAACTACTCACTCTACCTGAGCCTTTAGTTTTATTATGTTTGTCTCTGTACAGGAAAACTGAAATACCAATAATAATGAATATTGTTACGGCCGTGTCGTATTTTTCTATTTTTTTTGTTATATAACATGATTCCATGTTGTTCCATATTATTCCTGTAATGATGTGTTATATTTACTATTATATATTCTAGTCACCTTACCCTATGCTGTTAAGGTTTTAACTGTTATTATTTGTTCAAGCCCATCTTATTTCTTCATTTAGTATTGTATCAAGCATTCTTTGTTTCTCTAACGACCATCTGCATCGTTAAACGACCCATGTTTCACCAGGGTGGCGGGAGTCGACCTCATATATAGGACCTACCAGCAGAGAGAGTTCAGTCCAGTCCTCCTTGTCATTCAGCTCACGTTGTTTTGAGTGACACTTGTCACCTGTTACTTATACTTCATTTTATTTCTGTGATTGTTCCTGTCACCACCAATGTGGCATATCTATGTGAATACCTATTTATGTCTCCTTGGTGTCCATCAGTGTTTGCTAAGTTACATTTAAGTAATTCAGTGTTGTTTCACGTTAGTTAATTTCAGTGTTAGTTATTTTATATATTTATGAAGTGTTAACGTAATCCAATTCTTTATTTTTATTCTTTTGATGTTTCGGTGTTTTAGTATCATTTATGTCTTAAAGGTTTCGATAGTGAATCAATTTGTTGTGACAGCCTACGAGGCTCTTTATTGTGTTAATTTAATTAAATTCTTAAAGGTTTACTTTATTTATTTTTGTTCCCTTTTGATTTACTTCACTTTCCTTTTGTTTGGTTACGCCTAGAACCTGGTTATTAAAGACGGCGTAACAATATATATTACACTAAATAGCGATAAGAACCGATTATAAAGTACCTAAAGTACCTAAATTAACCTAACCTTAACCTTATTCAGCCTAACGTAACTTAACCAAACCTTGACATGATACTACAGTTTATTATTATCAATGTGTAAGCAACATACACGACTAAAACAATACTTAAACCATTCCTCTTCCTCCGTGGGGCGTGTTACTGGAAGTTTATTACTGATGAAGGACTTTTAGGGAAGGTAAGTACGAGAGGTACATAGGTGAATGGGTCTGAGGAGAGTGTATGAGGAGGGAAAGGTAAGGTCAGACTCACTTTCAAGCCTAGGGTCGTCCAGCAACCTAGGAGAGAAAGATGGTAACCAGTGTCGACATTATGCTCAGTATATTAATAAACCTCCGCGGTGGTAGTCTCAGAGACGCTCATCAGCAACAACAGTAAAATAAACACAAGGTCAAAACAACGCCTAAAATGTGAGGATATTGAGGCTGTATTGTGAGTTTTGCTTCATTTTATATATGCAGTACAGTATATATATATATATATATATATATATATATATATATATATATATATATATATATATATATATATATATATATATATATATATACATTTCAGGTGAAAGAGGGATAACCGGCGATTCAGCTTTATAAAACAATTGGAGGTTTTGGTGATTAGGGATAACCTTTGCTTTTTATTTCGACAATATTGTCGATATTCAAGTGTAAAAGGACATCTAAGACCACAGGAAAGTCACCTTTTTGTAAAATATACTTCTCTACACACACACACACTTTGTATATTTTCAGCCACCGGCTGCAACTCTATTAATAAACCGTTTATTATTATTATTATTATTATTATTATTATTATTATTATTATTATTATTATTATTATTATTATTATTATTATTATTATTACTATTATTATTATTATTATTATTATTATTATTATTATTATTATTATTATTATTATTATTATTATTATTATTATTATTATTATTATTATTATTATTATTATTATTATTATTATTATTATTATTATTATTATTATTATTATTATTATTATTATTATTATTATTATTATTATTATTATTATTATTATTATTATTATTATTATTATTATTATTATTATTATTATTATTATTATTACACACACACACATCAACAGCGACGGACTGGAGAGAATATATGAGAAAAGGAGGAAACCCCCAAGCTCTTAAAGACGCCTCCAGTGTCAATATTTTTAAGAACAAGGGAGACCGGTCAGACTGTGCAAATACCGTTGGATCTCGCTGCTCTCTGTAGCTGGCAAAATTATTGCCCGAGTCCTCCCAAACAGACTTCTTCCTGAGGCTGAAAACGTCCTCCCAGAATCTCAATGTGGTTTTAAACCATCACGAGGCATCACTGACATGATCCTTGCTGCCCGCCAGATACAGGAAAAGTGCAGAGAACAAGAATTTAGCGGGCGGGGTGGACATCGAGTACAGGATGAAGGGTCTTTTCAACATAAGACGAGTCCAGGCAAGATCAAAGGTGTCTACAGCTTCCATTACTGAACTTCAGTATGCAGACGACTTCACTCTAGTTGCTCACACTGAACACGACCTACAAGTGATCCTAAACACCTACGCAGATGCGTATGTACACTTCGGTCTTGAGGTGAATGTACGTAAGACTCAGATTCTCTTTCAGCCTGCCCTTGGTTCAGACACACATCCACCATCCATCCATCTTAATGGTACTACCCTCTCTAATGTTATCCACTTTCGGTATCTCGGCTCCCACCTGTCCACCACTGCAGACATCGATGAAGAGATTCATAATCAGATCAGATGTGCATCTCAAGCCTTTGGCAGACTCCGGAACCGTGTCTTCAGCTGTAGGGAGCTGGAATTATCTACAACGTTACACGTATATCGAACAGTGGTCCTCCCCCACCATACAATATGGCAGCGAGATAAGGGTAACATACAGGAGGCACCTCAAGGCAATTGAAAACTTTCACCAACGTAGTCTACGTTCCATCCCCCGAGTTCGCAGGGAAAACAAGCGAACTAATGTCAGTATTCTTGCTGACACCAACTGTAAGAGCATCGAGGCTACCATTATTTATGAACAACTACGCTGGACTGGCATTGTTACCGGTATGAACGATATTTGACTGCCAAAGCAGCTACTTTACAGTCACCTAACGAATAGTAAACATCACGCTGGCGGGCAACTGAAAAAGTTTAAGGATAGTCTTAAGACAAACTTGAAAAAGTGCCAAATCGACCCCCTCACCTGGGAGACGACCACTCCACACCGTAACGCTTGGAGGAGCACCACGCAAGAAGGTGAAAATACTTTCGAGTTAGCCCGACTGCAAACCGAGGTAGACAAGCGCCAACGCTGGAAAGACTCTGCCGCCGCCCCTCCCACACTAGATGTAGCCCTCCACATGTGCAACATCTGTGAACAGCTCTGCCGGTCCTGTATCGGCCTCTTTAGTCACCTCAAAACTTACCAATGAAAGTGACATCCCTAATAACGCATATCATTGTACCATAATTGGATGATCGTCATGCTCGATTCCGAGTGACAGCAAAGTAGCAGTAGTAGTAATAATGTGTGTGTGTGTGTGTGTGTGTGTGTGATAAAACATTTATAAATGATATAAATAACTATATTATATAAATGTTATAAAAATCCCATGCCTAACACTTGCAGCTACTAGGTGCCAGCCCACTCCCCACCCATTCCCAGCCCACTCCCCACCTACTTCGGCCCACTCCCCACCCACTCCAGTCCACGCTAATAAACACATACTCTCCACCGATTAGCATCTCTCCACCTGCTTCACCTTTGATCAAACTGTGTTGAGAACGACGATATGAAGACGTCACGTGATTCTTTACTGCCACACTAAAGCTGAACCATTACGTGTTATCTCTGGCCACTGATCAAGTCTTCCATATAAAACTTGACTTAGTGGTTACGGTCTGTTTCCACCGCTCGACGATGAGGTTAATTCTGTGAAAAATACGTCTATAGTCTTCGTCTGTGGTTCTGATCATCACCACCAGGAGGTCAGATATTTGAGCCCTTCGTCAGTAGTTCTGTTATGGTGACCAACATCAGTAGAAGTAGTAGCGTCAGGAGTACATGTAGGTTAGACATATATCTCCTTGTAACCATTTTTTTTTACTATCTATTAGCAACAGGCGAGGCAGTGATTCCTCGTCATCAATACACAGTTGTTTACCAGCACCAGCACCCTATCAGTGTTTCTTCCCTCACTAACACCAGTGGAAGTCGACACTGAACTAGGAGTCACCAAGTCTCTGTCACCAATAACAACTGAAGCTGCTCGACACACATTGAGTTCTGAGTCACCAGTCACTCGTCCTACTGTCAATCATGTATGGGCACCAGGACTTGTGTGGACCTTCTCCGACACACACATAACTTCCTGCTGGCAACTGTTATTTCTTTGTGAGTCACTCTTCACTTCTGTCTGAGATGTGATTTGACCATTTCTTTGTCCAAATTTTAAAATTGTAATTCCTGTGTTGAAATTTGACTACAGTGTTAGGTAGTCGTTACCTTGAGTTGAGCCTTTGCTGATTCTCTCAACAGCACGAAAAAGAACTACACTGTACTGTGCATTTAGCATTTAGCCAATTATATAAGTTTTAAAAGGAATCTGAAAATTTGGGTGGAAATCCAGACCATGGAAATAAGTCTACTGACACATTCATTGACGTCTTAGTAATTTATTAAACATAAAAAAATCGCATTACAACCAGAATCATTTTATATATAACAGCGGCAATGTATATTTTTAAGGAGACTTTGTCGTTGAGGGAGATCAATATTTTTGGCTTATTCGAAGGTGATGCCAGCAGCGCGCTGCTCCTCGGCGATGCGGAGCAGTTCCTGGACGTGGGCGGGGAGTGGGTGGGGAGTGGGCAGCAGGGGGGATTGGGCCTGGACACCGAACTCATTGGCGACGTAGCGGACCTCTTGGAAGCCGCCTTCGTTGTCAGGGAGTCTGTGGGAGGAACAAGTTACACTGTAAGTCTTGGTGACCTGCTGGTGGAGGGACAGTGAAGGAACGCCTTAAAGGTTGTGATGATATTAACAGTTCAAAGTTAATGATATCCTCCTTCAGGTATTGCTGTTACTGATACTGATGAAGTAACTCTTGACTGTTACTTTTGTAACCAACAGACTGTTTCAGTTTAGCAGACGAAGGTCAACACCTACCTGTAGGAGCCCTCAATGTTGATCTGTCCCTGTGAGCCCTGGACGCCGGAGGCTGCCATGTAGATGCCGTTGTCAGTCTCCAGGGCGTAGTTGAAGTTGCCATTATCGTCCTGTTGACGTTCATCACGGAGGACCTGTACTACTGGGAGGCCTTGCTGGAGCTGAGGGGCGGCCATGGCCACGGCGGCCAGGCAGGCGAGGATTGCCTGTAGGAGGAGAAGGTTTAGAATCACTTGCACACGAAGGCTCAGTTGTAAATATTCTTATCCTGAAGAATATTAAGCTAGAGTCTTCAATATGTGTGTGTTCATTGGGTGTACGATGGAGTGCCAGGAGACAGATGCCTAGAAGAATCAAGTGTGTACCTAACTGGATAAGTGATAGTAAATAACCAACTCCTAAGATAAATTGATGTGGTCCAACTTTCATGACGAGTAATGGAGGTTGGCAGCCGGCGCTTGATTGTTAATAGGTAATGGACAGAGAGCTATTGCCGGAGAACTAATGACGGAGAGTTACTGACGAAGAATTACTGGCGGAGATCTACTGACGAAGAGAGAGTGACGTGAGATAGAGAAATATAAAAGTATATGTCAAGAGTTCGATGTTGTGGCAAATAATTATCTAGTCTATATCTTTCAGTATATCTCAGGAGCGGTGATATTCGAGCAGTGGCTGAGTCAAGAAAAACAGGAGGTTACAAGTCAAATGGGCCCCAGTCCTAATAGACCATAGTCCGTCTGGGCCTCAACTCATCTAACTCTTTAGGATTAGAACCCACTAGGCCTGGGCTCCAATCCTGATACGTAGATGAGGTTAGGTTAAAGCCTTTTAAGACTGGGGTCCACTTCACCAGGTATCGAGCAGAAGAGAGAAACTGTAGATGATTTGTGCCTTATACTCACGAGCTTCATGTCTGGTGTGTGGTGAGGCGTCGAGCACAATGATGCCTGACCGCTGCAGAACCTCCCTTATATACCCCCACACACGCTGCCTCCTGGAACTGTCACCCGCACGGTAAACTGATCCTCCAACAGGTATGGGAACCTCCATCATCACGTTATGTAAAAAAAGAGTGCCAATAACTTTCCTCGTCGAGTAGTCATGGATGATGTGTTGTTAGTGATTTCGATGGTGATTAGATCGTGGTAGATAAAAACATGAACTGAAAGAATGGGTTATAAACAAGGGTTCTAGGGGGTGTTGGTATGGTCGTATGGAAATGGTGAGAACAGGTCACACTCACTCTCACGTTGAAGGTCGTCTGGTGAAGGGGTGGTCGGTCGTAAGGGCATTATGTGGTGTTCTTGGGGAGTCGACCTCTATTATAGTGATGTATTTTTTATCTTGTTGTGCATTACTAGTGTGTGTGTGTGTGTGTGTGTGTGTGTGTGTGTGTGTGTGTGTGTGTGTGTGTGTGTGTGTGGATTGTGGACTCTAGATAACAACTCGATTATATCATATTAATAATTCTTAAAAAAAAATCACATATATGCCTCAGCTTCTCGGAGTAGCTTGAAGAAGAACATACTGACATTTACTGTATAAAACCTTTAACACACTGACCTGAAGTACCCACGATGTGTTCTGCCAAATACTTATAACCATGTTTCCAAGTTTTCCTTTTCCCCGAGTTTGGATGGTGTGAGTAAGGCGAGCAGTGGCGTCAGGAACATAAGTACCAGGACGAAAGGAATAACAATGTTTACACTTAGAATATTGACTCATCCCCTGTTATCCTTTACTGATTAAAAGTCTAGGTGTGAATGCTAAAGGTATAGACAAATATTAAGGGTTGGCACTATACTCGAATGTACTGTAGTATAAACAAGGTGTTGATCCTTGTCGAAAAAAAATAAAGATAATTTGACTCATACTAGAAACAAGTCACTCTAGTAAGGTTCTCCGGACAGTGTAGAGTTGCCAAGACCAAAGGTAAACACACACCAACTCTTTCTTGGTTCCTCGTTATTCATTCGCTTCTTTTACTACTTTAACTAATGTATCTTACTGTAGTGTTCTCCTCCTACAGCAAGACCCACCAGCTGTCACCTCACACAAACCACCAGCATCATCAGCAGCACGTTCTTCTTCTTAAACATTCAGTGTCGTGCTCTCCACCACTCCTTCACACAGACTGCTGCTTCTTGGCTATCCCCTTCCCGTCTTCTGTTCACTTTGCTCCATTCTTCCAGTTCCTTCTCAGTCTTCCCTTGTCCTTAGCATAACATACTCTACCCATCTTTATGTCTGTCACTTCATTCACTTTCCTTATTTCTTTATTTTGTTATTATTTACATCCTATTTACCCAATGAATCTAAACGCATCATTTTTATCGATTCTAATTTGTTTCTTCCTTGTGTAACCCAGAGTCCATGTAGGAATGTCTCCCCCAACAAATCCTCTTGTTGTATCCTCGTGTCTGTAAGCCCCCTGTGACACTGTTCCCTCCAGACTGTATAATTCTCAACGCTACTACAAGTCACCTTCGTCACTCCCTGCCCCATATACTAACGCATCTATACCTACATCATTAAAACACCTCACTTTCATCTTTCTCTCATCAAAGTAATAAGTATTTCTCGAGTTCTCTTTTATCTGGTTATTTATGTCACTTAATTTTGGGGGACACTTTCAAGAATCAGACGAGGCTTCGGGTGCAGTGTGTCGGGGTATATAAGGCAGCTCCTCCACCAACCAGGCATCATTGTCCTCGACGCCTCACCACACACCAGACATGAAGCTCGTGAGTAGAAGGCATCTATACCCTGATTTATCCCTCTGGAGTCTGGACAAACGGGTTCCTGATCCTATTAGGCCCCAACAGTACCTAACCCAACCTAACCTAACCTAACTTAGTCTTTTCAGGCCCCAAGTGAATCTAATCTAACTTAACCTAACCTAACTTAACTTAGTCCTATCAGGCCCTAACACAGAAAACAATAATTAATCAAGTCACTAATACAAAAAAAAATTAGTCCAATCAATGTCTATCTTCACAAACCAACAATTAGTCAAACTATTAAGGCAAACTAGTAGAATAGCTATCAACAGTTAGTCCTAAGTGGCTAGTGGTAATGAGTTAAGGAGTAACAGTACTAATAATTCCTAATTGTCATATATTAGGATTCTGACCAATTGGGAATTAGTCTCAACACACTGGCAATCTTCTCCTCTACTTGACTCACCCTAGAGGTCTGAGGTGTCTGTGTATTTACCTGTGAGTTTATGGCTTAATAATAGACAGGTAGACAGGTAGACAGGTAACTATTAGCTGTTTAGATTACCTCTCTACCACTCGTCACTGTCTACCATCTGTTAGTAACCACCACCCACCACTCTTCTTCCATCTGTCACTTAGCGTCCCTCAATTACCACCAGTCACTCTCTCCCACCAGTCACTCTCCATCACTCGTCACTCTCTCCCACCAGTCACTCTCCTTCACTCGTCACTCTCTACCACCAGTCATTCTACTACCAGTCACTCTCTATCACCAGTTACTCTCCACCAGTCATTCACCATCCATCACTCACTATCACTCAATTTGTTTTATTCTTATGTAAGTGTTGTCAAGTCACCTCCTCCTACAGGCAATCCTCGCCTGCCTGGCCGCCGTGGCCATGGCCGCCCCTCAGCTCCAGCAAGGCCTCCCAGTAGTACAGGTCCTCCGTGATGAACATCAACAGGACGATAATGGCAACTTCAACTACGCCCTGGAGACTGACAACGGCATCTACATGGCAGCCTCCGGCGTCCAGGGCTCACAGGGACAGATCAACATTGAGGGCTCCTACAGGTAGGTGTTGACCTTCGTCTGCTAAACTGAAACAGTCTGTTGGTTACAAAAGTAACAGTCAAGAGTTACTTCATCAGTATCAGTAACAGCAATACCTGAAGGAGGATATCATTAACTTTGAACTGTTAATATCATCACATCCTTTAAGGCGTTCCTTCACTGTCCCTCCACCAGCAGGTCACCAAGACTTACAGTGTAACTTGTTCCTCCCCACAGACTCCCTGACAATGAAGGCGGCTTCCAAGAGGTCCGCTACGTCGCTAATGAGTTCGGTGTCCAGGTCCAGTCCCCCCTTCTGCCCACTCCCCACCCACTCCCCGCCCACGCCCAGGAACTGATCCGCATCGCCGAGGAGCAGCGCGCTGCTGGCATCACCTTCGAATAAGATGCTATTTGTTATCTCCATCAACGACCTTTAAAAAAAATCGACGTCAAAAACATAATGAATTTGGATATAATACAAGTAACTGTATTTGTTTTGTATTTGATGTATTGATAAATAAATAACGTATATGTCAATAGACTGTTTTTCACACCAACTGATTCTTATAAACTTGTAACTTATCCAACAGTCACGCTCAGAAATTTCTTTACACTTGCGTTAGAAACTTTACGAAACACAGCTGAGTTACAACCGTACCATTTAAGAGGTGACAAACAGTTCTGTGATTGGTTGCTGTAGCTCGGAGTCTCAGGTGTGTACAGGGACTTATGTGATGAGGTGTTCAGTGTTAAGAGCTCCGTGTACAGTGTTCCTCCTCCCGTGTTGTTGTAGGGAATTTGTTAACTGTTGTGGTAGAGATTAACAAGGCCTCTGCTTGGTCTTATTCTAGTCACACGACCTTGATGAGTCTAACCACGAGAGGAACCATGTTATTATGTAGTTAAGTAAGACATTAAAATATAATTACATAGTGCACACACACACACACATATACGCACACACACACTTATGCAACAGAGAGACAGAGCCTTTTATCTCAATGACCACAACCGCTACAGGTCCCTTCGCAACCAAGTCATCTGTGAGATACGTACTGCAAAGAAGTCCCACTACCCAACCAAGTTGCATCACCTGAAGCAGACCAACATCAGAACTCTGTGGACTAAACAATAAGACACACACACCCTCCCCATCCTTAGCCATCTCACTAATGGTGACGCAGCTGAGCAACCAAACAACCATTTCGCAACCAGATACCAGACGCTCCCCCGGCTTGACACAACCAGTCTCCCTGCATACATACAAGCCCCCTTTCCCTCTGATTTAGTAGAAAAATTTGAAGAAGCAAAATGTCTGAACAAACTGAAGTTAAAGCGCTCCACCACCCCCATTGACTTACCAATGAAACTCTACAAGGAGTTCTCCCCGGAACTAGCTAAACCCCTCTTCTCCATCATCAATGCTTCCCCCAGCCAAGCAAGATGCCCAGCTGACTGGAAAACCTCATATTTGTCACCAGTGCCCAAGTCAACCAGCTCACAGTCCTTAAATTAGCTACGACACATTGCAATCGCCCCAGTACCCAGCTTATCTGTGACAGTTTCGCGTTTGATTGGGCTTATACTGATATTACAGGCGCCATAGATCCTCAGAAATTTAGAAATATGAAAACGTCCTCCACCACTCACGGTCTTGTCAGTTTTCTCGACTACATATACCGCCATCTGAAAAAAAAAACGAAAGAAGCCTGTGGCTGTCGCCTTCATTGACTTCACCAAAGCATTTGACCGAGTCAACCACAATTTAATCATCAACGCCAAGCAGTACGCTTCCGAGGGGTTGTCTCCACTTTTCAGTCACTCATCTGTGGCGTCCCCCAAGGCACCAAGATGGGAACGCTTTGCTTCCTTATGCTTATCAATGATGCCCTCAGAGAAAACTCTGCTCGCTGGAAATATGTCGACGACTCCACCATTGGGATCAGTGTCAACAACTCGGCTCCCAACTACAACGACCTCCAGAATGTATTGAACAGTCTCCAAAACTGGGTCACCAACAACCACGTCACCATCAACCACACCAAGACCATGGTTATGCACATCAACCTCTCCTCCGACGTTGTCCCACCTTCCTCCATTACTTTGGGCTCCAACACACTCCAGGTTGTGGACTCCACTAAGCTCCTCGGCGTCACTATAGATAACAGACTAAATTGGAAATCACACGCCAGTAAAGTAGTCAAATCCTCCAGTTTTCGTCTTCACCTTTTCCGCCGACTCAAGTCCCTCGGAGTTCCTGCCTCAGAGCTCCTCAGTGTTTACAGTACTCAACATTCATACTTCCCAAGCTCACCTATGCCTCCCCTACCTGGTCTTCCTCCCTAAATGCCACACAACGTAAACACCTAGAAAAAGTGCAAAAGAGAGCATGCAAGATTATTCTCTCCCCTTCCTACTCCACATATCAAGAAGCGCTCAATGACCCTCTCGGCTCTCTCTGACAATCACCACGACCTCATCTGCAAATTTGGTGAGAAGCTTCTGCACCATCCTCGACACCGGCTCTTACTTCCACCCGAGATCCCTCGTCCGAGAATTGCTGTTCGACACCACAACCGCATCCAGCCCACACGACCACGTACTGATAGCTATGAGAGACCCATTCCCCAATTATGTAACTGTATATTATTATTATTATTATTATTATCACACACACACACACACACACACACACACAGGTGGCGCTGCTGGTGTTGGTGATAGTGATGATGATGATGATGATGATGCTGTTGGTGGAGATGGTGTTGATGGTGGTAGTGGTAGTGATGGAGGTAGTAATGGCAGTGATGCTGCTGGTGGTGATGGTGATCGTGGTAGTAATGGTGGTGATGTTGCTGGTGGTGATGGTGCATTGATAGTGGTAGTGGTAGTGATGGAGTAGTAATGGTGATGTGGTGGTGATGGTGTTGATGGTGATGGTGTTGATGGTGATGGTGGTAGTGATGGTGGCGAAGGTAGTAATGGCAGTGATGCTTCTGGTGGTGATGGTGCATTGATAGTGGTAGTGGTAGTGATGGAGTTGCTTGTGGTGATGGTATTGATGGTGGTGGTGGTCGTAATGGTGATGGTAGTGGTGCTACTGGCGGTGATGGTGATGGTACTGTTTGTGGAGATGGTAATGCAGTGATGGTAATAGTGGCGCTGCTGGTGGTAAAGGTGATTTTGGTGATAGTGGTGCTGCTGGTGGTAAAGGTGATGATGGTGATAGTGGTGATAGTGGCGCTGCTGGTGGTAAAGGTGATGATGGTGATAGTGGTGCTGCTGGTGGTAAAGGTGATGATGGTGATAGTGGTGATAGTGGCTGGTAAAGGTGATGATGGTGATAGTGGTGCGCTGCTGGTGGTAAAGATGATGGTGATAGTGGTGATAGTGGCGCTGCTGGTAAAGGTGATGATGGTGATAGTGGTGATAGTGGCGCTGTGGTGGTAAAGGTGATGATGGTGATAGTGGTGATAGTGGCGCTGGTGGTGGTGATGATGGTGATAGTGGTGCTGCTGGTGGTAGGGTGATGATGGTGATAGTGGTGATGTGGCACTGTGGCGGTAAAGGTGATGATGGTGATAGTGATAGTGCGCTGTGGTGGTAAAGGTGATGATGCTGCTGCTGGTGGTAAAGGTGATGAGGTGATAGTGGTATAGTGGCGCTGCTGGTGGTAAAGGTGATGATGGTGATAGTGGTGATAGTGGCGCTGCTGGTGGTAAAGGTGATGATGGTGATAGTGGTGATAGTGGCGCTGCTGGTGGTAAAGGTGATGATGGTGATAGTGGTGATAGTGGCGCTGCTGGTGGTAAAGGTGATGATGGTGATAGTGGTGATAGTGGCGCTGCTGGTGGTAAAGGTGATGATGGTGATAGTGGTGATAGTGGCGCTGCTGGTGGTAAAGGTGATGATGGTGATATGATGTGTGATAGTGGCGCTGTGGTGGTAAAGGTGATGATGGTGATAGTGGTGATAGTGGCGCTGCTGGTGTTAAAGGCGATGATAGTGATAGTGGCGCTGATGGTGGTAAAGGCGATATAGTGATAGTGGTGATAGTGGCGCTGTGGTGGTAAAGGTGATGATGGTGATAGTGGTGAGTGGTGCTGCTGTGGTGCTGTGATGATGCAGTGATAGTGGTGATAGTGGCGCTGTGGTGGTAAAGGTGATGATGGTGATATGATGGTGTGATAGTGGCGCTGCTGGTGGTAAAGGTGATGATGGTGATAGTGGTGCTGCTGGTGGTAAAAGGTGATGATGGTGATAGTGGTGCCGCTGGTGGTAAAGGCGATATAGTGATGGTGGTGATGGTGGCTGTGGTAAAGGTGATGATGGTGATAGTGGTGATAGTGTGGTGCTGCTGGTGGTAAAGGTGATGATGGTGATGAAATGGTGATGGTGGCGCTGTGGTGGTAAAGGTGATGATGGTGATAGTGGTGATAGTGGCGCTGCTGGTGGTAAGGGTGATGGTGGTGATAGTGGTGCTGCTGGTCCGGTAAAGGTGATGATGGCGATGAGTGGTGCTGTGGTGGTAAAGGTGGATGATGGTGATGGTGGTGCTGCTGGTGGTAAAGGATGATGAACGATAGTGTGGTGCTGCTGGTGGTAAAGGTGATGATGGTGATGGTGGTGCTGCTGGTGGTGATATAGTGATGAGTGCTGCTGGTGGTAAAGGTGATGATGGTGATAGTGGTGCTGCTGGTGGTAAAGGTGATGATGGTGATAGTGGTGATAGTGGCGCTGTGGTGGTAAAGGTGATGATGGTGATAGTGGTGATAGTGGCGCTGTGGTGGTAAAGGTGATGATGGTGATAGTGGTGATAGTGGCACTGCTGGTGGTAAAGGTGATGATGGTGATAGTGGTGATAGTGGCGCTGCTGGTGGTAAAGGTGATGATGGTGATAGTGTTGATTATAGAATTAATGGTTACAATAGAAGTTTCTCCACGATACATAACATTGTCATCGTGGTAGAGATATGAATAGCGTTTAACTAAAGGAATAGTGATCAAAGGCAAATATTTTCTGTGATCTTGTTAAAGTTTAGTTATAACAAGAGCAACATAAGAGGCACCAAAGTTATTAAGATCACAGCCAAGGTTTTATGTCATCATCATCATCATCATCATCATCATCATCATCATCGTCATCGTCATCATCGTCGTCATCAAGTTATTCAGATCTTTTCATAAAACAACTGGTCCTTTTCAACTCCTTCAGTTTATTACTTATCTATGACAGCCACGACCTCGTCAGTGCCTTAAGAGGTTGTGTTAATGTTGTGGTTGTTATTCATCTGTCTGTAATAATCTTCTGAGTTTGGCTCAAGAGAAGTAGTTTGTTGTTTATATTTGTGAGTTAAGTTGAGTTGTGTTATTTGAGAGACTTGTTGTTCTTGGAGATAAATTTCTGTTACATTTATTTACAAGAAGAGAAGGAAGAATGTTTGAAAAGTTAAGAGAGAGATTCCTTTACCATAAACTCTTGCAGTTGTTCTAAGTCCGGGAACACAAAACACAGTAAACTGTACATAAATTTATTACGAAGTAAAACATCGTAAATATTCATAGTCACAAGTTCATAAGAAGTTTTTAGTGCATTTTCCTGGTCAATAAGGACACGTCTATCAAGAGGTTCAGTTAGTGTGTTGTTTATTCGAAGGTGATGCCAGCAGCGCGCTGCTCCTCGGCGATGCGGAGCAGTTCCTGGACGTGGGCGGGGAGTGGGTGGGGAGTGGGCAGCAGTGGGGACTGGACCTGGACACCGAACTCATTGGCGACGTAGCGGACCTCTTGGAAGCCGCCTTCGTTGTCAGGGAGTCTGTGGGAGGAACAAGTTACACTGTAAGTCTTGGTGACCTGCTGGTGGAGGGACAGTGAAGGAACGCCTTAAAGGTTGTGATGATATTAACAGTTCAAAGTTAATGATATCCTCCTTCAGGTATTGCTGTTACTGATACTGATGAAGTAACTCTTGACTGTTACTTTTGTAACCAACAGACTGTTTCAGTTTAGCAGACGAAGGTCAACACCTACCTGTAGGAGCCCTCAATGTTGATCTGTCCCTGTGAGCCCTGGACGCCGGAGGCTGCCATGTAGATGCCGTTGTCGGTCTCCAGGGCGTAGTTGAAGTTGCCATTATCGTCCTGTTGACGTTCATCACGGAGGACCTGTACTACTGGGAGGCCTTGCTGGAGCTGAGGGGCGGCCATGGCCACGGCGGCCAGGCAGGCGAGGATTGCCTGTAGAAGGAGGAGGCGAAGAGATTATTAGTTCTTGCGTTGGAACTATCAACTCGAGAGATTGAAACCCGGGCGTGAAAAAAACATTGTCTATATGTAAGGCAGGTAACGTCAGCACTGGATATATTATTGGACAACTGTTGGTGTCAACGGAGATTTAAAATTTTTTAATATTCTCAGCCAGCGACTTCTAGGTGAACCATAGGTGACAATGAGTACCAGAGAAGAGATGAGTAATAGGTGATGGTACTGACGAGGGGCGTGTGTAGTGTTTATCTTGAGGAAGAAACAACAGAAGGAAGGAAACGTTAAGTAGCAAAACCCAGGTGTTGTTATACTCACGAGCTTCATGTCTGGTGTATGGTGAGGCGTCGAGGACGATGATGTCTGGCTGCTGTAGAACCTCCCTTATATACCCCCACACACGCTGCCTCCTGGACCTGTCGCCCGCACGGAAAACTGATCCTCAACAGGTATGGGAACTTTCAACCTAACCTTATATAAAACAACATACTGTTAACTGAACAAACTGGTATATTAAATAGAGTTTGTATTACTATAATCAAAATATAAATGATACAATGTGACTTACCTTACTACTGAGAGGTGTATTGGTGTTTAAGGTGTAGAGTCTATGGTGCGAAGGAACAGGTTAGGGCACGATCACTTTCTAGTGTAAGGTCAACTGCGAGGCTTATGTTGGTGGGGTGAGGTCGGGTGTTTCCTCAGGTGGGTTAGCAACACCTGACGCTAAGGATATGTACTGGTGTAGGTATGTGTGTATATACATGTGAATGATAATACCAAGGTGTACGTGAAGATATCTGAGTTAAAATACTACTACTACTACTACTACTACTACTACTACTACTACTACTACTACTACGGGGCCTCCATCCTGCCCTAATAGCCACACCTTCGCCGCCATTTTATTAACTTAAAATTAAATATCCTAATACATAAGTAACTAACCTAGCTGTGTTGAGTTAGTTGAGCCGCAGATCTATGTCGGCTTTGGGGCCGATGCTCTCGTTCGCCTGAGGCAGAGCAAAGCCGACCTAAGGAGAGAGAAGGACTACTACTACTACTACTACTACTACTAGATGGTGATTCATTCCCTGTTAAGTCTACATTACGGAAGAATCTTCACGCTAAGCCTGGTACCATCCAAAAGGACATGTTACAGTAAACATTTCTTCATATGGACACCCTGCAGGTTAAAAAATAATGGCCCTATTAGTGAAATTCCGGAGCTATAAGTGAGTGGTTAACCCTCTAGTAACACACTTCCTCTCTTTCTCTCTGACAAGAATGAGAGTATATCCTACCCTAGGGGGGGGGGGGTCATAGATAGTGTCCAGCTCAAGATATACCAGTAGCTTTATTGAACAAAGAATCGAAGTCTTGTCTCACTCGTCGGTAGAAAGGTTTATTAAGAGATAAGAGACAGACAGAGATAATGTCTCAAATGTTCAGAGAGAGACGAGGAAGGAGAGATCAGCCAAGCATCGCTGTAATGATAACGCTAAAGGCAAACTGTCAACACTTACCCTGGCCAGAGGAGTGTCAGCCAGGGCGAGTCATTGGGGCCTTTTCCATTTCCTTTATTGACAAATTTATGCTTTTTCTCTCCACTTGTTGTTCAGAGAGGATTTTTTTTTATTGAGAAAGAGGTTGAGGGATAAGAGAAGAGTAAGAGGAGAAAGGAAATCAGTGAATCTTGTGTGATTCATTTGTAGTATATGAAGATTTGATGACGAGTTTTATTAAAGGAAGCGAACAAAGGCGGAGACGAGTGAATCAGTGAATCTTTTGGTATTTTATGACTGTACAGACGTATGTAAGTTTGTAATCCATCCATCCATCCATCCATCCATCTATCCATCCATTCATTCATCCATCCATCCATCCATCTATCCATCCATTCATTCATCCATCCATCCATCCATCCATCCATTCATCCATCCATCAATCAATCAATCAATCAATCAATCAAGGTGGCAAAGTAACCACTGCCCAGCTTGTGTTTGTATCTCTCCGGGGACCACAAGGTTTTATTCAATTCATCCATCCCATTCTCTACCCTCCCCCCGACCTCTTTACCCTCCCCTGGCCTCTCTACCCTCCCCCCGACCTCTCTACCCTCCCCCCGACCTCTCTACCTCTCCTAGCCTCTCTACCTCCCCTAGCCTCTCGACCTCCCTTGGCCTCTCTACCTTCTCAACATTCACTTTCTTCTGCCCCTCATGGACACAGTCGACGTTTCAGCGGTTGGTTGAAAAGTCGTTCTTAAAGGTCGTGTTTAAGGGTGTCGTGTCGGTAGAGGAGGTGGGGGTCGTCGTGGAGCTACAGTGTGTTCTAAACGCCTTCGGGAACTGGGGATTTAGGTACGTGAGGCGTCCTTTAGGTTGATGTGGTGATAGTGGTGGTTATGGTGTGGTGGGGATGATGGTGATGATTGCAGTGGTAGTGGTGATGGTTGTGATGGTGGCACTAGGAAGGAGAAGGAGGAAAGGAGGGAGAATGCTGTAGCACATTGCTAAATTGGTTCTACCTACCACCACCACTTCACCGCCTACCACCACCACCACCACCATCATCCTACACCACCGCCACCACCACCGCCACCACCCACCACCACCACCACCACCACCACCACCACCACCACCGCCACCACCACCACCACCACCACCATCACCACCACCACCACCACCACCACTCCTATCTCCTACCACCACCACCACCTACCATCTACCTCTCCCTACCTCATCATCTCTACCTCTCCTACCTTGTGTGTGTAGTCATGGCAGGGCAGCTGGCACTGGCAGGGCAGGGACCACCTGCATCACCACCACACTACCACCACCCACCACCACCACCACCACCACCACCACCACCACCACCACCACCCACCTGCCCTAGGAGGCAACAACCGGTTCCTCTCCTTCTGTCAGGTATGGAAAGATGATAAATGGGGTGATATTTATTCCTACTGCCGTGTATCCTCACCTTCACACGGCTCCTCACTCTCACCCTCACAGCTCCTCACTCCTCCCCTTACACAGCTCTCATCCCTCCCTTCACGCTCCTCATCCCTCACCTTCTGCAGCTCCCTCCTCCTCCCCACCTTACAGCTCCTGCTCCCTCATCCTCCGGCTCCTCACCCCTCACCTTCACGGCTCTCACCCCTCCCCTTCACACGGCTCCTCACTCCTCCCCTTCACACGGCTCCTCACTCCTCACCTTCACACGGCTCCTCACTATCTCTTAAGGCCGCTGGCTCTATGGCAATGGCTGCATCACCTTCACAGACTTTACTGTAAGTCTTGGCAAGCGATCTGTTGTTGCTAGAGTCATTCACAGAGTTTTCCTACGCTATAAAGAGTCAATTAAACATTACATCCCAAACTACGCTGATCAGATGAAACTACGACCAAGAATCAGTCAAACATCTTAATATTTTCACTTAATTGAGACGAAATTCTTAAAAAAAATTCTCTATACTTTTCACTGTTACTGACGATGCATCAGCGCTTCAACTACACCGAGAGAGAGAGAGAGAGGGAGAGAGAGCGAGAGAGAGAGAGAGAGAGAGAGAGAGAGAGAGAGAGAGAGAGAGAGAGAGAGAGAGAGAGATACTTGAAGCCAAAATGACGTCCCAACTGCACTAAACTTACGGAAATCAATATGAGGATGTTTTTTGTTCCCTTTTACGAAAAAGTTGGGGGATTTAGACTCTGTGTCTTCTTCCTTGGGTTATCCCAGGCCGTGTGTGTGTGTGTGTGTGTGTGTGTGTGTGTGTGTGTGTGTGTGTGTGTGTGTGTGTGTGGACGTGGTGTGGCCTGTGTGGACGTGGTGTGGCTGGACGAGTCACACCGTGGTCGTAGTGATGATGGTCCTGTCGTGTTACCTGCCAGTCAAGACTCCTAATTATATGGTGTAAGGGTAATGGGCCTCTCACTTTAGTACTGACCTGACTGAGTTTTTGCCTTGGATAGACCCTAAAGCCTTACCCTGAGTGGACCGTGAAGATATTGATAATGTTCTAAATCCTTATCATTGGATGAGTCTTTACCTCCATGAGAATAAGTTAGCAATGTTCTAAAGCCCAAAATATTCAGTTTCATTATCCTTCATTTTTTCTTAGTCTTGAATCCTTCAATAGTTGATAGATATTGACTTTATTGTTTCTCTTTCATTCGAATCTTTTTAGTCTACCTTATTTACTATCTTTATTGCCTACTGTTCTCCATTTGTCTTTATTTATTTTATTTATATTCACTTTCTTTTTACTCATATTATTTTTTGTTTGTCCTTCTCTCTCTCTCTCTCTCTCTCTCTCTCTCTCTCTCTCACACACACACACAAGTTTCCATTACCCCAGCATCGTCTCCTACAGGTAATATACAGTGGGCCAGGTAGCCTTCCATATCACCTGTTGACACTCTACATGGTGGGAAGGTCTGGTAGTCATGACTCACAGAACTTACTAGAGGGATCTGAGTAGTTGATGGTATGCTTTCACTGTAATGATGATGATGCTGATAATGATGATGATAATAGTGATAATGATAAGGTTACTACTACTACTACTACTACTACTACTACTACTTCTACTTTTTTTTAACGTGGTCTCCATCCTCCCCCAATAGCCACACCTTCGCCACCAATTAATTACCTTATTATTAAATATCCTAATACATAAGTAGCTATCCTATCTGTGTTAAATTAGTTGAGCCGCAGATCTATGCGGCATTCAGTGACTGTAGCCTCATAGTCAATATCTGCAGCAGTTGTCGGAGTTGGGGCAGAAGCTCTCGTTCCCCTGAGGCAGAGCGAAGCCGACCGAAGGAGAGAGAAAGACAATCGACATCTCATCCAGGCTGTAACATAACTTCTGGGCTGCTGCTTCTGTTCGGAGATCAACTCCGCGAGTCTGGCGTAGAAACATCTTGCACTTGGTCCCATCCCACCAGAGGTTGTGAACAACAGAGGAGTGAAGCTGCCTTGATCAACGTTTTGAATTCTCTCCCCATATGCCCTTCTCTTGACGTTCTCGTTCCTCCTATGTGCAGCATCGAGAGCTAGGTTACGGTGACATGCGGCCATGGGATCAAAAATCCTGATGTCGAAGAAAGCTCGCTGTCCCCGCGTCCAGAATCCTCGAGCACTGATGTCCACGCGGGCTTCGTTAGATGTGTTTGAAGTCCTGTGTTGGAAGATCTCGCCATCCAGTGGAAGGAGGGTCGGTTCTACCATGACGTCCAAGCAGATTTCCTTCAACATATTTGCTGTGAGATCCCTTACCTCGTCATGCCTCATGCATATGAAGCCCCCCTTCTTGCACACCATGGCGTGATCGCCATCATAGGAAGAGCCACACACGCATTGGGA